TATATGTGTATGTATGTATGTAACTGAGAAAGTTTTGCGACGTAGGTTAAAGTTTTGGTAGATTTACAGAATCTCAAATTCGTATCCGCGTAATCGGATCTGGGGGTCATCTCTCTGTCTCTATCTCTCTTTTCTGGTCAAACGAGTAAAAGGGCAGCCTTGTCAACGGGGTTTTCGACTAGCAGCAGCAGTAGCAGCAGCAGTAGCAGCAGCAGAAGAAGAAGAAGAAGAAGAGTAGAGAGGTGGGTTACTGTGCTTTGGGATAAAGTACGGATGAACGTTGTGAGGGGCCACTAGACTGTGGAAGGGATGAAAGTAACCTCGCATTCACCGCAGACTCCGACTGGTTGATGAACCAGCAGGTGCATCCGTGCAGGAGGGCTCTGAGAGCCAGAAAGCAAAGTTCTTGCGATACATCCCTCCTCGGCTTTCTCACCGTTATATGTTTTAAAACCATCCTACCTACATTTATTCCTTTTTAAATCGGTACTTATAGTTTATATTATAACTTTCAGAGAGAAAATGAGAAATACCTTTTCATCTTATTATTAATATTTTATTCACAAAATTATTATTTTTGTCAAATGTATAGACACGAAAAAAGAAAGAAAGAAATAAATGGGACACTTCTCAAAAAGTTATTTAACGTGTGTTGTGTCAATTTCAAGTGACTAAATGACCAAATGCTCTCAAAATAATTTGCTCATACCTCCCCACCCTGTGCTAATCCGCAAAAGACTCGTATACCTGACATCGTTTGTCTCACGACTCTGTAAAATCAATACCACTACGAATTTCTCTGTGACGGTGACACGAAGGAGACTCGTAAAGTTAGTATTATATGGCTTTAAAGTTTGTCAGTGTTTGGTAGTATAGTATATCGTACACTTTTAGTTTATATCTCGATATCAGATTAATACTACTAAAAGATAACTGATATTTTGGTTATACTCGACGTGATTCCTATTATTATTATTATTCTGTATTGAAGTACTTTGAAAGTTCTTACGATTATGTTAGAGAATTGTGCATTTGAATTTGTTCAAATAATTGGCTACGAATCGATCACTCTCTCTCTCTCTCTCTCTCTCTCTCTCTCTATCTATCTATCTATCTATCTATCTCTCTCTCTTTCTATTTCTATTAGTTTTCTTTCCTCCCTCTCATCATGAATATAATTTGAAGATGCAAACAGACAGAAAACGGGGCCCCCCAAGAGGATATCGCAGTTCCTTCAATTCAAACGCAAAGGATCTTTACAAACGCAAAGTGTTGCCAACTCGGCAAGATTCCGAATCGTTATGAACGTTTGTTAGCACGTAGAGAATTCTACTTATCAATCCAGGATTAGTTCGCATCCTTGCACACACGTTATCCCAACTAATGCTCCCGTAATGAACGTTACTCATCAGCATGCAACGGCATTATCCCGGTACGAATATCGTGGCCCATTAATATCTGCTTCCCGATACGTGGATTATATGAGTTAACTATTAAAACGAATTTGCATAATGGATAGGTGATATGCGTCATGGAAAATGTGTCATAAAAAGGAAAAAGAATAAAAGAGAAAAAAAAAACATAGAAAAAAAAAAGGGCACTGGATGGGTAAATTTTATTAGAAACGAGTTGATATGAGTTGAATGTGAATGTGGAACACTTTTTTTTTGTTTTTAAATTAATATACCTTCTTTCTTTTTTTTTTTTCTTATCGATTGTTTTAAAAAAAAAGATTGAACAAAAAAACCTTACTTCATTAATATGAAATTTCTTTCTTTTCCCGAGTATTTTTATCGATTGGTTTTTTTTTTTTCAAGAAGTTGCGTGTCTAGATAAAAAGAAAGTTATCCCTGTCTTAAGGGAAGTCGTCTTTGAAAAAAAGAATAAGAAAAAAGAAAATGTTATCCGATAATGGGATCGAAGGCTCGTCGAATAAATTCACAATTGATTCAATTTCTTAACTTTTAGATGTTACTATAATTACGCTATATACTTAAGTAAAGGTTCCTAAAGTTACGTATATATATATAAAAGACAGTTACATACGTTAGATTCGCGTTGTCGCGACACGAATGACGATATTGAAGGAAAATACTCAGCAGAATTACTCGCTAGCTGGTACGGTTACGATCTAACGTTAGCTAAGGGTTTCCCTCTTAAATGTAGATTTCCAATGGAAGTCTAGAATTCTAAAAGGGGGTGTCATCTTTTACATCCTCGTGTCTCTTTTACTTTTTATCTTTTTCTTCTTTTTTTTTCTTTTTTTTTTCTCTTTCTTTCTTCCTTTTTTTCGTCTCGAAGAAAGTAGAAACGTCGTTGCTAGGATGTTCTCAGTAATAGCGACAGCAGAAGCAGCAGAAGTAGCAGAACAGCAGCAGAACAGCAGCAGCAGCAGCAGTAGCGGCA